GTGACCGAGAACGACGGGATATTCAAACAGGGTGTCTGGTCAGAACAAAGAGAGCTCAAAGGACAAACACGACAATAAGCGCTTTGCATTGGGCCTTTGTTTGAATGGACAATTGATTGGATTTCTCTCGAACACTCACTGTTCTTCACTGCAAAAACAAGCTAAATGAAGTGAGTTGTTACGTGCTGGCATAATCACATCCCCCTATTGAACGAAGGAAATATGGAACGGCAAAAAGTTCTTAACACTAACACTGCAAAACAAACTAATAAAGTATTGGTGGATGTATCACTGGATCTTCAAAGAGATAATGCTACCAGTCCTGCTGCAAGAATTGTTCAGGGAAGGTTGAAGAAACCCAAAAGGTGGCCGGTGGAGACTTCTTGTAAACAAACTTAAGTTATGAGTCTGTTCAGTGTTTCTCCGTAAATCATATTTTATGCCTTCTTGATACTTGAATTATGTAAGAGATATGGGGAAAGCAGTTCCTTCCTCATAAAACATTTGGCTTGTTTACATCCACGTTTACTTGCAAGCAGTCTTCTTCTTCCCTATCTTTGTTCGGCGCACTGCTGCATATCTTGGCGCATTACTGCCACGGTGAGATAAACAAAGCCGGGAGACGCTCAGAAAAACAACTCCATGGTGCTAATTGAGGTCAAAAACTCTTCAGGGCACCTCGAAGCTTTTATTAAATGAATGGTGCAGACACTCAATCACAGTCAGCTTTTTCTTTGTTTTGAGGAAAGAATATCCTCGAGTTTCTCAACCCTTTGACATTAGTCCTTTGTTTCTTTATTTTCTGTTATTGACGACGACGGCATTTGTTTTAAGTTTCAATACACTGTGGATCAGATGTCGGATCTCTTTTTTAATCTTTTGGGTATCAAAGCATGCACTGGAGATTTGAAAAGTGCCTGTAAGAAGGCTATAGTTTGCTTATTTACAGAAAAAAAGAGTGTGTAGTCCTTCATAATCCATTAATCAAAAAAAATAGAAGTTCATGGTACCATATGAAGATATAAATTGAAGTAAACACAAATGCAATCAGATGTTATTCCCTGTTAGAGTGTCGTGCCAGGAGTTCATCAGTGAACTACAATGAGAATTCAGACCAAAGAAGACGACTGACGTGGGTTGGTTGAGATAGCTAACTCTAGGATAGAGTTATACTCTATACTCTAATGTGCCCTGTGTATACGGATTGAGAAGGATAGAATGTATTTAGCCATATTGTGGCAGTAATGTGACTGTTTTGTAGCATAGTGACCAGGCAGACAGGCAGCAGAGGAATGGATTGAGTGATTGAGTTACTTTTATATTGCATATTTTTTTACCTCTGGTTATCTCCCCTGAAATAAAAAAAACTCCTCCAGTTTTATGAGATAAAACATTAGCATTCAGGGTAAAAGAGCAATGGCAGTACATCTCATACTGTTTAGACTGTTATTTACTAATCATATTGATCACAAGACAAAAACTCCCTGCTCCTGGGGGGAAACAATGCTCATGAGCATCCCTTTAATGTTTATTTAACTACCCACAACCCCTGCATGCACAAGCACAGTTTTGTCACCGTTTACAAAAACTACCAGCTACTGCAGTGACATTGCAAGTCATCAGATGTACACAGGGGCAGTGAGTCCAGGCCCCACTGTCTGTCCTACCACTGCTGCTACTGCCTGCTTTGAACTCCTGCCAGCCCAGGTCTAAATATAGCCTGACCCCTTCAATATGAACTGGTCAGCAATAAAGGGCTCCGTTACTCAGACTCATCATGAGTTAATACAAACTTGGCAGAACACATTCTCTCTCACAGAGGGTGTCTCTCAACTCAACATTCACTCCCACAGTCACCACATTATGGGTGGCCAAGATGCTGCCTGCTTCACAAAACATGCTCGCGAAAAATGAAGAAAAAATTTGGCCATGTACTAATTGCACAGAATGTGTGTTTACTGGATGTTAACTGCCCTCTTGAACTTGTACTCTAGATGAAGTCGAAGTCTGTCTGGCAAAGCCTGCAGATAATGAACTTACCACTAAATCCCAGTTATTAAGCTCTAACAGAGTGATCGCCTCTGCAATGTTGTCAATTCCAGTGCAAGCCTGTGAGAAGAAAAGAAAAAGAAGAGGAATTACATGAGAGAAAAGCATTGTACAAGATTCTGCAGCAGTTTGTCTTATGAAGTACATAAAAAAAAACATTCACAATAAAACAGACGAGACAGAATGAATGTGACCTACTATGGTACCACCTGTAACAGGAACAACAGCCTCAGTTATTATAATACTGCAATATTGATCAGGAGGCACAAATTTAAATTATAGCTTTCATGATATCTTAGATTTATCTGTTTGTATTCTTCCTGATGCGTAACAAAGGCAGAATTATCTTTTGATCATTTCATTAAGGTAGCATGCCTCTGCCATCCACAGTGAAAAGATCAAAAGAAAGACAAAGCTGACAAGTACTTATGCACAATTGATGACAACAAACTGAGAATTTGAATGCCAACACAGAGTAAATATGTAAAAGTGGACAACACAGACTTTGATTCATGCAATGGCTAAGTGTTAAAATTGTAGATTGTGAATTTATGTCTCTGGCTATCTAGTTTTTGGTGTCAGCTGGCATTTATGTTGTGCGTTTGATATTCACTGTCTATTATGTAGTGCATGTTTCTTCTCATTATTAATAACTGTAGGTTGTAAGTGGAGTGGAGCACGGTGGGGCACGATGACTTGGATTGTGTAATAGCCTAACTACACAACATATATTTTGTGGCCTGTCCTCATCTGAATAGAGCAGGGAAAACGTGGACACCTGCATTGGTTAGACCTGATATTATGGTGACTGTTGTTGATTCAAAGCACGAGGCTACAATAACAAACCCACGAGAGGGACACCACCAAAGACAAGGCCCATGATGCATTTTCCAAGTGTTTTAGAAGAGGGGCATATAACCTTTTAGTATTGATGTCATTAAGCATGGAAACCAACACAACAGGATGCTATACTTGAAAGGGGAAGCATTATCTCATCATCAAAACATACCACACTACCTGCAAATAGGGCTAAAAACATGACATCTTGGAGGGACACCCTTGTCTCTGACGAGGATTTAAACCGTTGACAGGACGACTGGCTCGGTGTAAACAAGTTGGCAGTCTACGTGAGCACCGTTATCAATTTAGCTAGCCCCGATTGTCGTCATTCGTCTTAGCCAGTACATTTAAAAACCAGCGATAAAAAAACCCACTAAATATCCACCGTTTAGATCCGGGCCACCGCTATCTAGTTAGCGAGCTCGCAGGTTAAAATAATTGCCTTCAGAATCAGTTAGCAAGCTGTCAGTGAGTTAGCTCGGTGAGCTAGCCACAGAAAGCAAAGGCTCAGCTCGGGTCTGCTGTTTACGACGCCAGTCAGGTCGTTGTGTACGGTTGTTGACAGTATAGCGCGAGACAATTCAACAACGGCAAAACACACATAACTAGCTAGCGAATATAATATACGGCACAACAGAAGAGACACACCTGAAAGTCGGCCAGAATCATTTCTCTATCCATGTTGCTCTCGCCGCTTTCGGAGGCCATGGCAATGACTGGCTAAAAGCAATTCTTCTCCCACTGGCTCCCGTCGCTCTCCTCGCCTCACAGAGGAGACACTGGGTGGTAATAAAGCTCTTCACTGAGACGGGGTGACGAGGGACAGTGTGGCAAGTTGGAAATATTCAACTTGATCGGGATTCAACCGCTTCTGGGTGGAGAAGAATCTGTAAAGTAACGTTACAGTGTTCAGTTATCTCCTATCATTATTGTCATCTAGTCCATTGCTTTACGGCTGACGTAAAGTGGCTGCAGCTGCTGTAAAAACTCGAGTCGAGGACGTGAGGTCGATACTTGAAGTGAAGTTTTAAACGTGACCGTCTGTCGCCACGGAAAATACCTTAGACCATGTTTCCTTTCACTCATATCGATATGTATAGAGGTCTCGTTTCATTCTGTACTTAAACATTCAAATGAGCCTCCATAGTTACATTCAAATAATATCATTTACAAAAGCTAACTGGAAATACAGAGACTAACGCTATAGGCTACAATATATGCAATATTCTAAAAGCCTGAGTTTTCCATGTTTGTGTCATTTTTGCCTGTAGTCATTCTCATCCCTCTTTTGAGAGCCACGGACCAAATGCCACAGCTGGCCAGTATACAGTCTGGACATGATGGGTGGGTGTAGGCCTATCCAAAGACTGGTGCCCCCATCAGGTGCAGCACAAACAATACCCTAGTCTATAGATTTGCCATGAACCAGTCGCATTATGTATGTACGTAGAGCATTCTGTATTTTCAGACAAATATTAAAGTCAACTTGAGGATTGAAAATGTGCACAGACAACAAACAGGCAGGTGCAGTAGGCCTGTTGTTGAAGTGACAGGCTATACTCAAGAGAAAATACCAGTTTCCACAAATATAAATGCGTATGGCGTCACATGCCAGTTTGCCATTGACTGAACTAAACCCAGATTGATCCCTGGCATCTAAAACAAAGCGCAAGACCAACATTTGTGTCCATGCGCACCGCCACAATACGCATCATTTTGCGTACCTGCAGGTTGTTGCCGATTACACCAGAGAGCGCTCGACATGTGACCCGATTTGTCCTTATTATTCTTTTTCTCCCGGCAGTGCTATAATCCTACACAGTAACCTATATCGCACTATCTCGTTCGTAAAAGTATGTGTACTGTGTCAAAGTGCGCATGTCCCCATGCTCGCTCTACTGGCTGAAAAGTGGCGCATGAATTCAGTTTGTGAGTATACACAGTGAATCACTGGTATGAACACAGCTGACCCTCAGCTCTGTAGTCAGCCAGGCTTAGAGAGACAACATCAAGACCGGACACGAGAGGGCGGCATTGTGAAAGGGGACCGACTATATGTTGCCCATAACAGAGGATGACGCCTCTCCTGCTCTTTCACTGGAACGTATAAGTACAGATGAAGTAGGACACGGATTATATCGATATGCTACAACGCCACTGTGTTCTCTGGAATAAATCCTCTGTATCGCATCAGTGAATGCGGGCATCTTTCTGGCCAATGCTTTGTTACAGCGTCGTGATTACGCTCTTTTCAGACAGGCAGCGTCGCGCCTGTCATTTTTAGCTCCTATCCAATCACGCCATCATTTTTTTTGCTGGGTGGGTAATTCAAAATGTAGCGTCAACATCTAAAGGCAGACTTCCTCTCTCCCACAGCTCGATCCGCACTTCAAATGAACCACCATGTCAGTGATATTTTAGGAGCTTTGCTGTGGTCGGACATTAGTCTGCTGCGAATTTTGACAGACGTTCAAACGGACATCGTTGGTACGCCGGTTGATGGAGGAGCATCACGAGGTGGGTCTACTGTTGAAAATGAAAGGGATCTGGTAGTGATTTCGCGGTCTTTGGGGCAGCTCTTGCGTCCTTCTCTGTGTCTCTCAGTCCTTGCATGCTGGTTTTATACCATGATAGCAGACGAATACAGGAAAACACTTTTTACATTTTGGCAAAATCATCTGGAAAATGAGCAGGAAGTGACTTTGAATGACATCACATCTTTTTCTAACATGCGAGGATGGAACCATTTTGTAACCATTTTGTTGTTGTTCGTTATTTTTGTGTTGCATTTTCAGTGGCCGACACTGACGAATGTCTTGTGTTTTAATCTCGTTTAAAGTAAACCGTCTTTCCCCAACAACCAATCCTACAGAGTTACGATGAAATCACTGAAGTTATTATAGCTGCACGTATATGTGATATTCTATGTATAGAATAATAGCCCTTTGTTGTCTCTGTGGGTCTCTTATAGGCTGGATGGGGAGATGAGATATATATTGGATTAAATTCAGCATCTGCCCCAGATATCACCCGCTGAACACCCGAGCATACGTCAGGGCTGTGAGTAGATGGTGCTCTTACAAGCACGTGGAAAAACGACTGTTATTTCTACATCGTTTCCGTATTATTATGACCTACAATGCGTCAAAGTGAATCAAAATTGAGCATGCCAATAGAGGTGGCATAATTCATTTTCCAACATGATGCATAACTAACGTTACTTTATATTTATAAATTTTAAAGTAATTGGATGCTAATCAATTTGAATTGCAAGTTAAAACGCAGATAATACCGTTCGATGGTATATTGCCCATCTGGATACTGATTGAGTAATAACACCATTATGACATTAGTCGAATATAAGCTGTGAAAGTGGAAAGGGTATTATTACAAGTTATGTGTAAAATGCATTTCTGCAAATTCTTGGAGGCAGCTGGGTAAAAGTAGGATTATAATCCTTTACCATCGTTGTTTAGCTTGGTAGCATTGGAGAGAAGCTGACACACATTGTAATATATATAACAGCTACATATCCTACATTATATGTTTAATATATAGGGTTGAACTATTTGAGCCCCAAACATTATTTTCAATAGAAGCTACTTTATTTTAACCCATAAGAACCCAAACCCATTTTTCCTTAAAGGAAAATTATAGTGGGTATAAAACAGACTAAATGGACCACATGGAACACATTTCTGAAAGTGACAACTGTTCGCCGTGGGTTCTTAAGGGTTAACATTTTTTACAGTGTACAGGTTTAGAACTATTTGGTCTAAACGCCTTGGTGTGAGGGTGAGGGTGAGGGAGGGGCCTATAAAATATATTCAAGCTTACTTGATAGCAGAACATGTGCAAACAGCATCAGACACCTTGCTTTAGATAAGTAAAAATAAGAAAAAGATAAGATTAATCTTTTTTACAAGAATGGCTGACTCAATCTGCAATGCCTCTGCCAGTGGAGATCTACCCACAGTGTTGTTTTTGCTGGAAAATGGAGCAGATGTTAATGGCTTAAACACATACAACAGGACTGCACTGCAGGTTGGTATAAACCCCTTTCAGTTATTTTTCTGTCGTTTTAAACTTGGAAAATGTGTTCAAAAATGTGTTCATGGTCATTTTTGTAAACTGTGGTGTTACAAGCAGCTTGTTTGACTTCCTTAGCTTACTGTGCTGTTGTGCAGTATATAAGACCTAATCAGTTTATCCTCAAATATCCAGTAGACCTTGTTCAGCATTATATATAACACGAAATATAATGCTGTTATATTTGTATTTAGATAAAAACAATGTATCTAAATAGATACATTGTTTTCAAAATAAGAAATGTGTGGACAGATGGCAGACAGGAGTCTGGACTTAGTAGCCATATTTAACTTTAAATACACCAAGTGTAAATTGCAAAGTTTATCAAATTCGTTTTGAATCGTTTTCATAGTGTTACTAAATGAATTGTTTAATGTCAGATAATCATAAATGTATAGAGTAATGTGAGTAAATCTGTGTTATATTAATGGAAGAATAAGAGGTCCTTTAGTCACTATATTTCGCCATTTAATGTATATTTCCAGCACTTGATCTTGACAAAAAAGTGATCCAGATATAATAAGCCTGTTGTTGTGATGTGATAATAAAGGCAATGCATGCTAAACTTGAGGATAGAGGGTTAGAAAAGAGAAACAAAATGGTGGTCGTGATGAATATGGTGAGTGAGGGCCTGTTACACATGTCTGCTCCTGCTTGAATCTCTTGCCTAGATTTTTTTTTAATGGGCCTAGAGCAGGCCAACTATTGCCACTTCTAAGTGATCAGTTTAATACGAATAATAATTTCATTTCAACTTTATCACAGCAGTGAAGTAATTCAGTCTCCTCATCGTAATACTAAATCTGATTGAAAAGCACATTTTGTATGCTCATGCTGAAAAAAAAACGGCATCAATCTTATAGCCACATTGTTTTAAAGTACTGTTCTCTGTCTACCATATTCTATTGTAGCTTTTAATATGTTTTCTATTTTTAAATGATGTCTTGATTATTGCACTGTATTCATTGTTTATTGTTATGCACCATTCACCAAGTCAAATTCCTTTTATGTGTATGCTACGTGGCAATAAACGGTTCTGATTCTGATTGTTAATAGGCCATTGTTATTATATCTATATATTTGTTACACTCAAAAGATCCTCATCTGTTTGCTTTCCTCCTCGTTCTTTCTTTGTGCAGGTCGTGAACTTGGGCAACGCAGACGTGGTCGAGGCTCTTCTCCGGGCAGGGGCAGACCCCGACCTACGCGACCCGGACTGCAGTCTCACGGTGATGCACGACGCCGCGCGCGCGGGATACGTCGATTCTGTGCGCGTGCTGCTGGACTACAGTGCAGATACAAACGTCGTTGACAAGAAGGGTAATCTGCCGCTTCACCTGGCCGCCATGCAGGGCAATCTGGAGGCGACCCAGCTGCTGATCGGACGCACCGCAAATCCGCGCGCCCCCAACAGCGCGGGAGACACCGCCGGGCAGCTCGCGCACATTCACAAGAGGGTGAAAACTGCCAAATACATCGACGACTATTTGAGCTCAGGTGAGTGGTCTGCATTCAAATTTTTTTCAAGAAAGCTTCCTGCCCAAAGATCCAAGTCTTTCTTTTGAAAGATGTATTGTTTATTCAATCTTTAAGCTTCACAGTATAGATTTAGCATGGCATCTATAACAATGGCTGAATTTGGGAGCTTGTAAGCTGTAGCTACAAATTATTCAACATAAAGTTGTGGACTTGTTTTGGAAGTACAGAGGTGCCGTGTATGCTTTTTCGAATAAAGAATATTTCTGTTACTCAACAAAAACAATGCAGAAAACTGGGACAGTGTTTAGGCCTAATGCCTTAATGATTCAGAGACAGAACATATGTTGGTATTAACTTATTTTGATGTTATAAACCATGATAGAACCATGATTAAAACAAAAACGATTAGGCTATAGGCCGAGATTTGTGGTTGGTTTCATGATGCTCACTCGTGGAATGCTGTGCCACCACACATGCGCACACAAAACACGTACCAAACATTCAAGCATAACTTCAAGGAATGGCTTGTTGCCAATCAGGTGTGCAAGCATTGATGTACTGTCTGTCCTGCCTGCTTGTTTCATCTGTGTGTGCATTTGTCTTGATCAGTGTTGCTATTTTCCATTTTTTTGATGTGTATGTTATGTGCTTCATTGTTATATGTGCTTGTCCTGTAGGTGGGTCTGTTCTGCGTGACGCATGCTGAAACCTTTTTATGTCTGCTCTGCTTTAATGTCGGACACTTTTCTTTTGCTGTGTGTTGGTTTTGTCTATACGTTGCTGTCTGTTTCTCTATGAATTTTAATTCCGTTTCAATTTGAGATTTTGTTATTTTAGGCTGCCTTGAAACATCTGGCCGGGGACAGCAGATGGAAATTAGCCTCTCTGGCTAACTCTGGCTCACTTACAGTGCAACTGTTGATTAGTGTGCATTGTCCCTGAAAAATAAATAAATACAAATAAATAAATAAATACTTTTTGACCCATGCCCACAGCCACTTGGTTGAGACAACACTCCCATTAGTTCAATTCGTTTGAAAAAATAGTAAAGAATATATAATATAAATACCTGAGCACATTTTAGATCATGGTATAAAACGGATTTTGTCACAATTTCTTTATACAACGAGTGTTTATAAGGTTACAAAGTTCATTTATTTGTCATTTTACCACACAAGGTTGCACAGTACAATGTAAGTTGTAGCCCCTTCACGCTGCACACACATACACAAATATTTACATTAGAATAGAATAAAAGCAAATACATTGAAATAAAATAAATATATTTATAGTGGAATGAGGGTATAGTGCAAACGTGTATTAAAACCTTGCATGTGTATTATTTACAGTCATATCTCCAGCAAACTTGAAAATGTTATTCTGATAAATAAAGTTTTTTGGTTTTAAAGTGACGCCTTGTTGGCCATCACCTTTTCATTCGTACTTTGCATTCTGTAATATATAATTACACTCTATGTTTGACAGCCCCATGTATGTTCATGATGAAAGGGTAACATTAAAAACAACGAATCATTTAGCAACCTCACATTTTAAATTGTGCTTATGGCCATGCTTTCATGTTTTGATGCTTGTCAAAATAAAGGTTATCGATATGACTACACTAGTTTCAAAATACGGAAAAATATCACTTCATAGTGACAACGTGGCTTCAGCCTGCGCCACAAGGCCTGGCGTGCCGGAAAAGCAGAAGCTGCGCAGGCTGCACACAAAAGCTCCATTCAAAAACCAGTAGGCCTACCGGAATCGAAAGTGAAAGTTGTCTTCAAGTTGAGCTCAGGCGTGGTTATTATTGCAAATACTCAGAGAATGAATGTGAGTCGATGTGTCTCTGCAGTGACAAAAAACGTGTGTGTGTGTGTGTGTGTGTGTGTGTGTGTGTGTGTGTGTGTGTG